GTTTTATATCATTATAATAGTAGAGTTAATTTTTTTTATATTTCATAGAAAACAGCGTTTTCTATCAAACACCAAAACAATTCACTTTACTACTATAAGGACAAAATACGGTGTTGTTCGGGTCATATGAAAGAGTATCCTTGATAACCTCAGATTGACCCGAACAACACTATGTTTGTCCTTACAATATTAAAATTCAGGCCTTCAGTTAAGAGTCTTATGATAATTTTCCAGAAGGTATGGAACCTCGTTGTACCTGAAATGTTCACCGATGGGACGAATCCTTTATACGTAGTTACTGTACTCACTGAGCTCTACAAAATAACAAATCCCCGATTCAAAACGGAGACTCACACTTGGGGACCTTCCCTCGTTAGTTGAAAAGGATATTATGTTAATCAAAAAAATAATAATTTACCATTGATAATCATCAAAGAAATAGTGATACCAAAATCTTCAGCTATATTTAATAGGTTTTAGTATTGCCGATGAGGATGTAAGAAAGATTTGAACAAAAACAAAATTTATTTTTATGCTTTCTATTATTCAAAAATCTTGCTTTTATGGCATTTAATAAAAAAAAAAACTTGAAATTAAAACTCAAACTAGTTCCTTCGGTTAGCTGGGATTTTTAAATTTTTCGAATTCAATTTCGTGACAATAAGTTTTTTCTTTTGTGTGAGGATATTGTTTGCTCAAAACAAATGATAAGAAAAGTAAAAATGAAGTATATAACAATCTTTATCAAGTTACATATCCTTTGAATATAATTATTGCAAGAAAATGAAAAAGACGAATTTTTTGTCGGATATTCCCGATAAGTTTTTCAGGATAATATGAAAAAAAATAATGTCTCAAATTTTTTTAAACTGCATATCAAAAATTTCTTATTTCTATCAAATATTTTACTAATTAAATAAATATTCAAAAAAACCAAAAATACAACAACAGAAAATATATTGCAAAATACTTTTAAAACTGTTCATTATTCTTCTCTTTATTAGTCGTTTCATTATTTCGTATTTGAGAGATGCATTGTCTCGTTGCAATCGGTTTATTGTATGCATTAACCAATGTGTAAATGAAAGCGAGTTATTTCTTTTTTTTTTATATAATTCAAGTACACGCAGATCGATTCATTTTAATATTCGAACATTTAAATTGATAAATAGCAAATTATTAATTTCATCTGTAGCCAGACGTGCTCGCCATATGGCTTTGCATTGCCAATAATATATCGTGACACTCAAAATAGTTACTACACTTAAAAAAGAATAATACAACGGTTATATCTCTACTGAAGGTCATCTATTTAAGTCGCGGTTTTCATCGAATTATATACTGCAGTAAGTACTGTCTCCTTGTATAAATTCTCAGCTTAATCTATAGTTAAATAATGGCTTTAGATAAGGTGCTGAAAGTACCAAAATTAAAGCAGACTTTGTTTTTCTTTTTTTTTATATGGTTGGTTAAATAGAGTGTAATGAGCTAATCAATATGGGTTTCAGTTTTTTTAACGAGCTTTTAGGTACCGTATTTCATTTTTTTTCAGATGATTACACTTTTTCTTAGCAGAAAAAAAAAACAAGTCATCTTTCGATAAACCACAAATTTTAAAATTGTTTGTTTTAAATTCCATATGAAAAACTGAATCTAAGATAAATCGCAATGAGTTTTCCTAGACTCAAGTTTTCATGCTGAATTAAAAATAGATAGTTTCAAAATACAAAGAACGTAACCGAAAGGTTAAATATTTATGTTATCAAAAGTTGACTTTTTTTGTTAAAAAAAGTGGGTCATCTAAAAACACTAAAAAATTGTCAGCGAAAGTCGATTATAAAAAAAACACTGAAACCTATATACTCTCGGTAAGCTTATTACCTTCGATTCATCATATATAAAGAAAATAAAAACAATATCTGCTTTACTTGTTGCATTCCTCTTATCTTAACAAAGAAGAAAAATCACGTGTTTTGAGTTTCGCTGAAAATTATTCATACAGTTCATAGAGAATAAATATGAGAAAAAAAAGCACAACTTGTGATTATTGATAATGACAACATTTGAAAACAATATATTGCCCTGAATTTGAAGATAGATCAAATTGACCCTTCATACTTCCTATTAATGATATAAAAAAAAGACATTCTTCACTTTGACAAATATTTCTTTCAGTTTCTGGGTAAAAACCATGACTTGAATACAGTTTTAATAGTAAAAGTGAAAAAAACCTATCAGGAAGCTTTGTTATTGGACATTTTTTTGAAATATGTGTCAGTATCGAGAAAAGAAAAATTACTCCCATTAATCTCAAAGATAAAAGAAATACTTGAATATTTATCCGGTAAAAAACCCATCTATTAAATATCTATTTTGAATTCTTATCTATAATATGTCAATCATAGAATTATTTTATTTATTCACGTTCCGTAAAAATATCGATCGTGACATAAATCAATTTCTTTTCAATAATATATCACAAAATAAGTAAGTTATTTGTAATTCTAAAAAAAGTTTAAAATGACATTGAAGGAGACATTGACATGAACAGAAAAATTATCGATAAGAATTCTTTTTTTTTTTTTTTATGTAGCTTCTTTTTATGCATTCAAATTCTTTTTTATTGTATCTAAAAATGATCAAACCAAAAAATGCAAAATCCCATTAATACACTTATCTTTAAGTGTATATCAAACAAGATTCATTATGTTTTATTCTCGCATCCATAACAATTATTAAAATATTAGAATAAAAAAATTCTTTGCATTATCGTTTGAATTAAAGTTTACGGAACAACATGTATTTGTGCAAATGAAAAAAACATAATAATGTCATTTCATTTTATTTATATATTGATGTGATGAGTGATGAAGAAGACGAAGAAGGAAAGGGAGTTACATTTTCTTTTGCTCTGTCGGTGCCGATTGGAATTTGTAATCTCTTTTTCTTTTACACACTCGTTCTCTCGCTGTCTCTCACCATTATTAATATTTGATTCTGATAATGCAAGTTTCAAACATTCCGCATTATTCAAGTTTGTATGACAAACTATTCACCAGAAATATTCGTTCATTGAGATTATCATTAATTATTTATTAATAGTTTTGCAGATTTCATTGTTAAAAGTATAGGAAGTTTTTATTTGTATAATAATTTCTTGTAGAAATTTTATTTATATTTCTTCGTATCATAGCGACGATTTACAATTTATTATTGAATCATGAAAACAGCTTAAAAGCATCTATCCGATCTGTTCTACTTTTTTTTGTGAATCTAATGATTCAGATTAATGATAGAATACTAGACGTAATTTACATTGCAGTTTTGATTACTTTATTCTTTAAGAAAAAACAAATAAAAATCGCAATAGCAAAATTCATATAGCAAGTTGGTAAAAAAAAAAAAAGAAAGAAAAGAGGCCACTGAACAGCAAGGTTATTTCAACGAGTCATCTATTTACATTCTTTTGAAATATTCGATAAGAATAAAAAGACAAACGGTAGAGTAACTTGAGTTGATACTTGAATTCTTATGTATATTAGCTTTGAACTTTTATGATCAAAAGATAATTTTTATATCACTGAAGTAGAACATTTACATTATTGTCTGTTGTCTGTTAGACATACATAGTCGAGTAGAAGCAAAAACAACCATAATTGGTATCCGTGTAAATAATAACATAAGAATATGATGATTTTACATCTACTATTTTATTTTCAAGAGCAAAATACTTGACAGAATAGTTAAAGAAAAATGAATTTTTTTCTTTTTGAAATATTATTTCAAGGTTAAAATCAAGTTTTTATTATTCGTTTGTTTTTACTTACTAGACAATCGATTCCTATTTAATACTTTTTTGTTCGTTATCTATATTAGTAAGTGACTTGATTTTTCTATCACATATTCTCTACTTTGCCGTAATACACTATCGAAAAGAAAAAGATGCATGTGAAGAGAACTGCTGTGAAGGCATGACTAGTAATACAAAAGAAAAAAAAAACTAATTGAGAAAAAGAAAAGACAAAGAAATGACGAAATCGAAAATAGAAACTATGTTGCATTTTCTTTTTTCTTTCTGATGTTGATATAAATCTGTCTGCGTACTTCTGCAACTTTGATTGTAAATCTATTAGATAAATATAAGAGACACCCTGACAACAGCTGATCAGTGTTACCTGTATCACGACTTATTTTTGTTATTTATCTTTATTACAGTGACGCTTTACATGGAAAAAAACAAAATAAGAGTCCTACTTGTAAGAACCATCTTTTTCGATGAATTCTTTTTGTTTGAGTCATAGGAAAAAAAAAAGTTCGTACTTTATATAGCTCACTTATGTCTGTTAAAAATAATATAAATATAATAACTTGTGTTTTTGAGTTTCTTAGAGACATAATACTTATTATTTCTTAACAAACCATTCGTTATTATTGTTGTCGGCCATTACTGCATCATCAAGAATAGTGTTGCGGTAACTATTCAATAAGATACAAGGTATTAATTCCTCAACTAATTAAAAATATTATTTACCTGTCTAGAGATAATCAAGATATCTTTGCCCCTCAACATTTTTTTTCTTTTTGCAGAAGGTATAAAAAGGAAAAAAAAAGTGGTTTATTCGACAATTTTGCTTTCATCTTTTTTTTTTCTACAATCACTATCATAAAATATAGTAGATCTCTTTTGCAGATCGTCTATGAACATTTCATCACAACCAGTTGTTCTTCCAACAAATCATCGTCGTTTTCCAACTAGGAACTATTCACCAATGGTTTTTAATGCTTCCCCAATAGCTGTTAGCAATAAAATAAAAGCAATTCAAGCACGTAAAACTCGTCTTACACCACTACCAACTGATCATGATTATACTGATATTCGTCGATTAAATTTTGGTTATAGTGGTGGTGTTACTAGTTCTAGAACGGATTTCTCTGTTTTCACTGCTGAAAGATTAGTTGATCGTAGCAAAGATATACGTCTTGATCGTATTTCAAAACGTAACCCTCCTCGTCCATCTGTTTTATCAACAAATGTCAATCAACAATCACTACTATGGCCAGGTTATCAAGCGTCAAATGAAGGTAATAAACAACATCCAATACCATCTAATCCTCCGACAATTACGTCACCTGCTGTCAGATCGTTTAAAAATAAATCATTGCCATGTGGTAAAATACCAGATATTAATAGACGTCAAAATCGTCAACTACATAATGATCGACAAAGTTCTATAACACCAAATGAACAACAAAAAAAATCTATATTAAGAACAAAACCTCCACAAATTCAAATACATAATTCTGCAGACAGGACGAATAATAATGACCTTCGGACATATGAAACTGAAGAAGATGAAGAAAATATTTGTATAGACGAAGAATTTGAACGATATCTCGAAGCAGCAATTGTTAAATGTGCTGATTGGCTTATTAAATATGTATTTAATCAGACAGTTGATGAACAAAACGATTAAATTTTTTTTTTTTCTTCTTGTACATAAGCATCGATATTGGTGCGTAAGCAATATGTGAAATAAAAGGAAATATTTTCTTTAAAATTTTCTTTTTCTCATTTCTTTTTTCTTTTTTTGTTTTAATATATGGTGTAGTTTATAACCATTTGCTTCATAAGATATGAAACGACTTTTTTTATGACCGTATGAAGCAAGAATAAAATGGCTTTGTGACTCAATGAAAAAGGAATTCTTATCTTTTTTTATCACATAACCTAAAGGTATGTGTGATGTAATTTGGAAAACTTTGGTCTTTGTTTTTTTAATAAACTCTTGATAAATTACTGACGAGAATATTGAGTAAAGTTAAAAAAATATTCATTTTCGGTCATTTTTATCTTTCGTACTCTTAATTTAATGGCACATCATTCTTGATAAACATTGACTAAACAAAAAATTTCATCTGACATTTTAATAGACAATTTCTTTTGTTTCTTTTTGAAAGAATTATAGTGATTGATTTAATCGTAAAAGCCTTATCCGACTATTTAAGATATTAAGAAATATAATCATGTGTGATTTTTTCAAGAAAACAGAACTCAATCGATTTATAAAAATTCCATATGATTCAAATCAAATAAAAACGGTCGGTAGAGCTCGAGGCATATTAGTGACTATATCAGTGTTGTATTGGTAAGGATAAAAAATCTACGGTAGTTTAAATACCTAAATAGTCAGCTATCTTTCGACCACCATTCTATTCTGGTATACTGATAGTTGTTCTCTAATCTGCAATGTATTACAGTTATATCGTCAGCTTTTATGAGTCATGATGATAGTGTGAATAAACGTGGAATCTAATTATTCCGATATTAATCTTGCGTTAAAACATATAGAACAAGCATTGAGAAAGAATACATCTTAAAACTATTGATTAACCCACAATATTTGATTTTTACTTTCCATATTGTTCTTCTTTAGAAAAAAAGAAAAATTTTCTTTTTGTATAACGAAAAACAAAGACTTTAATAATTAATATTTATTTTTAGCTATCATTGTTCTCAATAATATAATACTTGATTTCATATTTTGTTCGATTTCTTTGAAATTTATAATTACTTTAAAAAAAAAAATTAAATGCATCATTTCTTTTTTTTTTTTTTTTAAAACAAAAACAGAACGAAATAATAACAAATGTCATTTATTAATCGATGGTAATTTATAATTTGGAAAAAGTTTCGATGAACTAACTCCATAACAATCCATCAATGGTCGATTAACTTGTGAAAAATATCCACCCGTTAAACGTTCAAGAAATCTATAATAAGCCGGACGCATTGCTTGTGGTTCAACAACAGCTGCATGAAGAACAAGTGCTGTTGATAAAGCATATAAAATCGAATCAAAATATGGAATTATTGGTACTTTTCCATCATGAGCACATTTGAAATAGATACTCTATTGAAGAAACAAAACAAAAACAAAAAAAAATAATTTTCATTAAAAAATAAAATACTCTTTTGATTTTTAAAACTAACTTCAAGTAATTTTCCCATGATATACATAGCTAATGTTGAACTTTTATAAAATATCATAGAAAATCCAGCTAAATAACCAGCTATAAGACCATGTTCAGGTCGATCATATTTTAAAATATTGCGTAATAAACAACTAGTTAACTAGAAGTTGAAAAAAAAAAAAAACTAACAATAACAATTTTTTTCTTAATATCCAAAAACTAATTTACTCGATAAATAGCTGAATAAAAACCAAGAAATTTTCCCAAACTAAATCCTTTTTTATATAATGTCGAAAAAAATAATATTGGATGTTGTAAAAATCGAATAGGAGAAGTTGTAAAATGTAAAATCATTTGTATTAATACACCAGCTAGAAAACGTTTGATAAAACCCTAAGATAAAATTTTCTTTTTTTAGTTTTTTTTTAAATATATTCATAAAATATTAGAAATTTCAATTTTCAAACCAGAAGAATATGAATAAGACAACGATATTTATGATTACATATTGGATGATTTTTATTTTGAATTAAATGCCAACGTTTAATAATTTTTATATATTTATAAAATAATGTAAAATATGCTGATTTTTCTTTTGATTTCGGGATTAATTCTATTGATAAGGACGGTGCACATTCTTCTTTACCAATCAATGACCTAATGCAATAAAAAAATAAAAAAACGGAAGAGAATGATTTATGACTTCTGACATAGACTCCACGAAAAGTGTAAAAATCCGTGAAAGATACATGTTACATGTCTAAGTGGTTTATAGTCAAGTAGTTAACTGATATGGTTCTTTCATTCTTTATTGATAAATATAAGTCAAATGTATTTTTATTCTATAGAGTCTTACGGATGTTACATACAATAAAAAATAAATAATAAATCAAAAGAGGATAAAAACTGAAAGTGAAAAACAGAAGTCTAACAGTCCTGACTTATTTTATATAATAAATATTCTTATTGATCTATTTTTATAACGAAAATTTTTCGGATCCGTTCGAAGTGTACTTTAATACTTAATAAAATTTTCGAATCAAAATCGGATAATACGAAATACTTTCTTCTGCTTCTTTTTTTTTGTATTCGGTGATTAACGCATCCTACACATTTCTCAGACGACTAGGACCCGGTCAAGTTCGAAACCGATCCGATGGGTTCTATCGGATGAACCTGAATTTAATTTCTTTCTTCCATGGATGATTTTCCACGTAAGGAAATAGAAAAACTAACTTATTTTTCGTCAGAATTTTGTTAAAATGAATTTTGCATCTCATCACTGGTAATAACCAGGAATTTGTATTATGCAAATGTTTTGGTAGTTTCATTTAGTCGATAAAGTAAAAGGCAGAGTGTTCATTCGGTTTAATAACATTTTTCATTTACATACAAGGCCAAAAGCATTAAGTGACTTGAGTGTGACTGAAGTGGAATAGTGTAACTAAAAATAGTAACCGATATGACTTTTTGAAATCCGTCAAAGAGAATTTTACTCATGAAATCTTATGTATTAATGAATGATAGTTGAAAATGATCTTCAGGTTCAATATGTAATTCGACTTATTTTCAATGCCCTTTTTTCAAGCATTAAAATTTTCCACACTATATTCAACTCATCATCATTATGATAATAAATATTTTACAATGTTCTCATATATGATTGCAGTGATTGTGAAGTTCCATTGTGTGAAATCTTCGTAGACTATAATTCAAATAATATCTTGTTATACTATATGAACTTCTTCCTTAATGGATTTCTCTAGGAATAGTATCCCAAAATAGATAGAATAACACAATTTTTCTATGATTAGCGACAACAATGGTATCGTGTTTTATATTTTATTCCCACAGAGATTGCACTAATAGCTTTAAAAAGAAATATACTTTTAATAATGCCATACTAATCTGAGACGAACTTAAATAAGGTAGAAATCGAGTCAACTTATTAAAATGTAGCTCAATTTCGAGATCTATTAGAGATAAAATTTGCTGACTCATTAAATAATGAATTTTATTCAATCAGATATTTAATTTCATTTCTAGTCATTTTGAAGAACATGTTTTAACTCTATGTTTGCGTAGTATAAATTCAATAGACAATAATTTCATGAAATTTTGAAATCTTCGAATTTGTTGAATTGATATTTGATTAATTTAATTCTTAAGTCATAGTTATTTTTCTTACTAAAATTATTTTCAACAATATTTTATTTTTTGTGTTAAGGTCTTTCTCCCCCGCGCCTGCCCACAACCCCATGCC